GGGGGGGAGGGGTAGGCAAAGAGATTCTGTCCCTCACCATACACCTAATGCTCAACTATTAATTGACGGGAGAGATTAGGAGCCGCATTATAGTGTAGGATTAAAAATGTTACTCCACTGGAAGAGTGAGACTACTGACCCATAGAAGAATGACTGATCATTCTACCAGGAGAGAAGTCTATGGGATATCAGTAACATGGAGGCCAGGTCTGGGTTGGCCAACCAGTTACCCCCCAGTCTCTCCAATTGGACGGCCTCTCTGCTTATAATCTTCCCTCGTGTATTATTTTTACCTTCACGCGTGGCTTGGTTATCACTTTGGCTCGCCGGTATGACGACAGTCCTGGGGTCCATATAGTGGTGGCGAGATTCTTTAGCGGGAGATGCTCGAGGTTCAGCTTTTTTGTCACGCACTTTACTTCCATCAGCGTTCAGAATTTGAGGCGAACTGGTCTCCAGCACCTTCACCTTCTTCCTCTTCTTCTTGTTTGTTCTCTGCAGGCTGTATCCTGTCTAATAAAGGGAAGAGGAGACGAAAAGGGAAAAGGCAAATTAACAGAAAAGAAAGAAAAGGTCTTCACGTATCCGGCCAGTTGGACACAAATCTCCTTTGCATTGTTTATACTGTCAACTGGGGAAATTAAGGCTCAACTCTTGGCTCCTCCCTTATACCCCAGCCCTGCTAGAGCCCCCACCCCTTGGGTCCTTCTTTTTTCATACGGTGTCTTAAGGCTGGTCATGTGATATGTAGGGTTCTCTACTTCCTTCTGAGGTGCTTCTTGGTGCTCAGTAATGCAGAGAGCAGCGCTGGGGTGATCACAAGTGCAGGGAGCCCTGGTGATGCCTCCTCAGGGGCGGTTCTATGCCATCCAGCACTTACAGGATGTCCTCAGTCTTCTAAGCTGCAGGATACTGTCATAGAGGACAGCATGAGGTGGAAAGAAATGACTGTGGGGGACCGCACCATAGAGGAGGTGAGTTCTCCAGCCGGAGCTGCTTTCTTATTTAATTTCACACCTCCTGGTACACCATTTTGTTTTTATTTGCCTGGAGTTGGGATTTAATTGCTAGCTAATCTCCTTTACTGTATGACTAATAGAAATGCTGCATTATCAGGAATCCATGGCTGAATTGTCTGCTATTTCTGTAGGCCTGGCCTTTAACCCTTTTGGTTTATTCTATTGGATTTTCCACCTATGCTCACTGCTTTCGTCTCTGACTAGGAAGACTAGGAACTGATAGGTACTGCCAACTATGGTGAACCTTATACCTCTGTACCGGCAACATCACTTTCTACTTTGTATTGCTTTATCTCCTTAGCGTCTGATCTGTATAATGTCTAGACCAGTGGTTCTCAACCTGTGTAACATCAGGACCCACACTTGTCCTCGGTCATTAAGTCGCGACCCAAGTTGCACTGCAATGGAACGCACGGCAGTGTGGGCTGCTGTGCTGTAATGGAGCTCCATCCATATGTGCATTGTTTTTACAGCTCCCATGCGCACCTGTAGAGGTGCCAGGAGCCATAATGTGATGTCACTCCGGTCCAGGCACCTCTACAGGACATATGAGGAAGCTATAAGCAATGCACATATGGATGGATCTCCCTCGTGGCCATACCCCCAGCCCACGCCATCCCGCACTTGGCACCGGGCAGCATATTTTGAATGGCTGCTTGGTGTGAGAATGGACGGCGCTGTGCTAGGTGAAGGCTGAGGTGCCTATCACATAGAAAAGTGGAGCGCATGCGCCGACCCACTAAACATGGGGTCGCGACCCACTTTTGGGTCACGACCCACCAGTTGAGAACCAAGGGTCTATACTCTGACCTGAGAAGAAACTGTAGGGGATGACGCTTGGTTTACCTTTGATGTTGCCTTTGGTTTACCTTTGATGTTGTCTTTGGATAGCAGCCATGTTGTTGCCCACAGTGTCCCTTTGGCCTTGTCATGTAGTTCCCATTTGTCAGCTATTGACTGTCTTCTAATATTTTCACTCAAAGCAATGTTGACAAATAATATAAATAGGTTTTTTTTAGACATATCTTACCTGTGTCAATATATTTTGAATGGGCTTCAGAGCTCTTTCTTTGCCGCACGGGAATGGTTTGTACTCTACAAGGCCCGTAATTTCCTCATCAGTCACCTTCCATTTTGGCAGATCACTGCAAAACAAAAAAACTGTTGAAATCAGGTGTCCTATGATATCTACATCTTAGTAGTAACCCATGACAATATTCCATTACTCCTATTATTTAATGTCCTCTTATACAGAGAGGTGGTTGGCAAGAGCAAACATTCTCTCTATGGGCTTCAGAGCTCTTTTTCTGCCACATGGGAATGAGGCGGGTTGGGGCTGGTCACGTTCCCGCAGAGGTTATCACAGGGGGAAACGTGACCACCAGCACTGACGTGACTGGTTGCCAGGAGCTGGGCGTGACGCCCACCAGAGCATCTGGTCAACATTAACATTGAGATTAATAGTAATGCTGCATTATCGGATATCCATGACTGACATGTCTGCTATCTCTGTAGGCCTTTAACCCTTTTGCTTTTTGACTTTACTTTATTGCTAGAACAAGAGGGATGAAATGCTCCCTATGTGGTACTAGTGCAGTTGAAGGGTTCTCTTTAGGGAGGTATCATGGGTCTGTTAGAATGTTGAGTACCATAAAGGGTTAGATCTTGACTCTTGTGAACTTGCTTTAATGTCCTTTGGCATCATCTCATCAACCGCTCCTCAATAAATGCCCTAAAGGAGCTGAAGGACGATACTACTTTAGGTTAGATCTTGACTCTTGTGACCTTGCTTTAATGTCCTTCGGCATCTCATCAACCGCCCCTCAATAAATGCCCTTAATGAGCTGAAGGACGATACTACTTTAGGAAGAAAAGAAGAACCAGGGTGCTACTCATATTGCCCCACCTGTCAAGGTTGCTATGTCTCCATGGGCCCATCATTTGGTTCTATCCATGCTCCAGGAACCTCCAATTGAGCCCTAATGTGGAGAACCTTCATTGGCTTGGTGACCCTTCTGATCGGCATCACTTTGGCTCAAGGGTGTCAGAGTGAGCGTCTCTATCTTGTAAGTTACCTTTCCTTATTCTCCACAAGGACAAGGTGGTTTTATGACCCCCCTCCCCCATCTTGCTTTTCTTCCTAAAGTAATATTGTCCTGCATCTCAATGAAGACATTGTGCTTCCCTCATTTTTTTTTTCATCCACACCTCATCCTAAGGAGATTGCTCTTCATTCCCTGGACGTTGTGAGGTTGATCATGAATAACCTATCTTCTACCACTCCCTTCCGTAAAATGGACTTGTTTTGGTCACCCCGGAGGGTTCCCCTTTCATCTTCATTTTAAGTGAGAGAAGTTCTCTCTTGCTCATGTGTATATAAATAGAACGTCCATTAATTTCTACATTGTGCTGCCCTCTTTTTTTTCCCATCTCCTCCTCATTCTAAGGAGATTGCTCTTCATTCCCTGGACGTTGTGAGGTTGACCAGGAATACACTGTCTTCTACCACTCTCTTCCGTAGAATGGACTCGATCCTGGTCACTCCAGTTGGTTTCCTTTCATCTTCATTTTAAGTGAGGGGTATACTGCTATTCTCTAGACATGTGCGATTCGTTTCGTTCCGAATCGAAATTCGGACGAATTTTCGGAAATTCGGACATTCGGATGTATCCGAATTCCGAATTACAGACATAACGAATGCAAAAGAATCCGAATTTCCATTTCCGAAATTCGGTAGCGTTCGTACGAACGTTCGTTTCGTTTTCTGTTCGTTTCTTATTCGTTTCGTTCGTTGGAGCAAAGTGACATTAGAGGAGAAAAATATTTTTCCCCCCTCAAATGTCACTTTTGCTGCAAAACGAACGAAACGAGTAAGAAACGAAAAAGAACAGAAAACGAATAAGAACGTTCGTACGAACGCTACCGAATTTCGTCCGAATCCGAATTCCGAATCCGAATTGACTTTCACACCCGAATCCTGAAAAACGAAATAACACAAATCCGAATTTAAAACGAAACTAAACTAAACTAATTTTTTGGCAGTGCACATCTACTATTCTCATTTGTGTATAAATAAAACTTCCATGAATTTCTACATTGGACTGCCCTCTTTTTTTTTTCCATCTCCTCATCCTAACAAGATCACTCTTCATTCCCTGGACGTTGTGAGGACAAGTGAGAGAAGTTCTCTCTTGCTCATGTGTATATAAATAGAACGTCCATTAATTTCTACATTGTGCTGCCCTCTTTTTTTTCCCATCTCCTCCTCATTCTAAGGAGATTGCTCTTCATTCCCTGGACGTTGACCAGGAATAGTTTGTCTTCTAGCACTCCCTTCCGTAGAATGGACTCAATCTTGGTCACCCCAGAGGGTTCCCTTTCATCTTCATTTTAAGTGAGGGGTATACTGCCATTCTCATTTGTGTATAAATAAAACTTCCATGAATTTCTACATTGGACTGCCCTCTTTTTTTTTTCCATCTCCTCATCCTAACAAGATCACTCTTCATTCCCTGGACGTTGTGAGGACAACCAGGAAAAATCACTCCCTCCTGTAGAATGGACTTGGTCATGGTCACCCCAAAAGGTTCCCTTTCATCTTCATTATAAGTAGGAGGAGACCCACCATACTTATTTGTATATAAATCAATCTTTCTTCATGTTTCCTTCATGGTAAACACACTCAGTACAACAAAAGTGGAACCAAAAATTGTTTTCAACTATGAAATATTTCTAGATATGGCCCTACTGAAATATTTAACATTCCTCCCCCTTGGCCCTCAACATCTGCTCTGTTCTCAGTTCAGTTCCACTTATGAGACTTGGAAATTATTTTTTGAACCCGTACCTGACGTTCCGCGGCATCACGGCAGTCCTGTGATGTATACTCTCTTTCTGTTCTGCGCTCTCTTGTAACACACAAGTGTTTAATGAGGAATAGCTAAAGGTTACAGACTTTAGAATCCAACGTAGTCCCTTCAGAATCGTCCATTCGTAATGGGATCGGAGGTCTGTGGTTGCGGAACACGGTTCCTGCGGGATTAAAGACACGGCAGAGTATCTGTCAATGGGGTTCTGTTATTGAAGCCTTTTATTTATTTTGCATGCTGGATAAAACATTTTTTGGGGGGGTTTTGCTAATAAAAGCCTTTATAACCTTTTACATTGCTATCAACAGCCTGAGCCAGTCAGCGTGAGGACTTTACTATACTCACCAGCATCATCTAGTGGCACTGGTGCCGTGCGAACGTCATCCACCCGGCGTCTTTTACAAATGAATCATTTAGGACAATATTAAGGAAAACCCAGGAATTCCATGTGAGTCCATGCTAGAGGCAAGTCTGAACCTCATCCCTACCTGCTGGTTGTTACTGAACACTGCAGCTCAGGTCTCTCTCCGGTGCACACCTGACTCAATTAGGAGTGTTTAAACCTGGGGTCTCAGAGTACCGCCCCGTGAACTGGTACCATGTGGTCCGTAGGCGGCTATCAAGTCAGGTATGCAGTCACAGACCGCGTCCCTGACTTGGAGGAGCAGCTACACGGTCTGCAGCTCTGTCAGATGCAGACTGGCAGCTGCTCCTGGTGGTGCCGGGCACTCAGTGCGAGTCCATGCCAGCAGCGAGTCTGAACCACATCCCTACCTGCTGCTTGTTACTCAACACTGCAGCTTAGGTCTCTCTCCGGTGCGCACCTGCCTCAGTTAGGAGTGTTTAAACCTGCTAGCATGAAACTGCCACAGGTCGGCTCAGTAGATCGGGAAGTGTGAGAACACATATCGTCGCTCGCTCACTTCTCGATCTATCCCTGCAGAGAGCCGTGACTGTCACTCACGGCACCCTGCAGGGATTCCCCCCCCCCCCC